TTAATTATACCCAACATCATCAAGCTCTTATGAAATTGTAAATAGAACTCTCCATATCCACTTTCATCACCAAAGAAAAATGAGACAATGGGAAGAGGGAAACAAGAAATGCAAATAATCATTGCAGTTCAAATTGTACGCTAAATAAATATGGCACTCGACTCACAAGAATATCAGCTTCATTTTCAAATAATTCACCCCAATCTGCTAAGAAAGAATCACCAAGAGTTGCCTTTGAACGAAGATAAACAAAAGAAATAAGAACTACAAGCCAACTTAGAAGTTGAGGAGCATGTCAAACAAAAAATCAAAAGATCCATAGGCACACATATAGTTCAGAGAGAAATACTTGTTATACATTGAAATGGGAGAACAAAAGTCAATTCATAAATATTCAACATTTTATTTTTTCAACTGAAGAATGTGATTATACTCCAGTTTTACTGGTTTCTACTTGTATAAACATGGTTTCTTCAAAAAAATGATTTGATTGATTCCAATAGTGAATATAATGGGTAATACTGAGATTCTGATGGTTGAATTCCTACAAACAAAAGATTCATAAAAAGTTATTTTTCTGAATACTGAACCGGATCTTCCATCATTAGTAATGGAGCCAAAGACTCACTATATTTGAAAGCTAAAGAGCACAATTGAATTCTGCTGAATGCATAAATGGAAAGAGGAATAAAGTCGTAATTACCCGTAGACAAGATACGATTTCAAATGTTGGCTAGAGCAACTATGTTTGTAATAACTCTGTTATTTTTTTTTAATAAAAAACACTCAAATAATCCTATAGCTTTATTGAATACTCCAAATAGTATGAATCAAAAATTGGTATTGCTAATTACATCCTCTATTGAATACTCGTATATATACGAAGTGATAAAAACTAAGCACTAACCCAAAGTCAACTGTAAGCAATTGAATCGAATGGTCTGATATGATATTGAGAGATAAAGAAAAGTAAGGCAAGGCAAGGATTGTGGGATTTGTGGGTACATAGGCATCTAAAATCGGCCATCATATTCACGACTCAAGGTGGTGCGCGCTTTGCTGCCTTTGTCACCTCCTGATCACACAGAGGTCACGTTGGAGGAGAACAGAGCATCAAAAACCTACTCCTTAACTATTTAAAAATAGGGGCCCTCCCCAAATTGGGGCGATCACCCAAATCGGTGCCCTGTTCGGCCGCAGGCCGGCCCTGCTAAGGGAAACAAGGGGTGAAGAACTGAAGGTTACAACCGGTTATCTTTAAAAAATGAGGATAATACCTTAAACCATACGAAGGAGTTGGCAATAATCTTCTGGCAATAATCTTCCTGCGGACGAAGGGGTGAAATGAGTGAGGCGTTGCGGAATTGAAAGGGATGATATTCGAGATTGAATTGAGAGAGGTTTTACTAACGAGCAGGGCAGACAGACGGATAGACGTTTACTTAGAGTAATGTCCCAAAAACTTTGTTTTTCCTTTTAATTAAGGAAAATTTTACTCTAATAATCCCACCTTTTACTCTTCTTCTCAAAATAGTCCCACTTATTAGTAATCTGAACTAAATCCCACCTTTTCATGTCATCTGCTTTCTTTGGTCCCAACCCGTTATTTACCTATTGTCCCAGGTTAGTAACCGGTACTCCTAGGTTAGCTCTTCTTCCTTAACTTTTCTTCATCGCAAGTTTAGTGTTCTTCTCTCATCTTCCACTATTCCTTTCCTCGCTTTCCCCCCGGTCTGCGTCGAATTTTCCCCTACCCATTCAGTCTGTTATGTATTTTCTCCTTTCCATTCATTCTGCGTCGAACCATGTCAACGGAAGAAAAAAATTCACATACCTGTGGTTCCTGTTCGACGAAATCCATTGGTAGGTCGAAATCAAGAGTTCAATGTCACCATAACATAAATTCAGTTGTTCGTGTAGTGAAAAATGGGCCAAATGCTGGGAGGAAGTTCTATGGATGTTCTTTACGGCCTGTAACTTTACTAATTACTACATATAGTTTTAATATAAAAGTTAGGGTTATGATTGACTGTGTTTGTAATTTTTATAGATTGTTAAGGATATGCAGAATTAGTTATTTTTTGTTGGTTAGGATGCAAATTGTGATTTTTTTCAGGTGGGAAAATGCAAGTGAGTCAGGTTTATCAACTGAAAGTGAAGACATCAACCTGGTTAAGAAGAATTGTAATGCATCTGATGTACAATTGCAGATGAAGATAATGAAGGAAAAGATTAAAAAGTTGCAGCTAAAAAAAAACTGGAAGAACAAGTCAAGCATATGAAGATTGACAATTTGCAAATGAGCATTGCGAATTCGAAGTCTTTAAAGAATGAGAAGAAGTACTCGACGGCTCTAATTGTTTCATGGCTCCTATTTGCCATTGTATTTTTCTGTTTGAAGTAGGTTGTAATAAGAAGTTTAATACTACGTAAGTTGAAGTTGAGTGTAGACTTGTTTCATGGCTCCTTTTTAGTTGTTTCATGGCTCCTTTTTAATGGTGTGTGATGTAATTTGGAGTTGAGTTTAGAATTGAATCATATGTATTTGACTACAATGGAGTTAAAATTGGTGTGGGCTGCTATCATGTGCAGAATTATGGTGCTTTAGTTAGTTTAAAATTGCAGTTTTTTAGTTTGACAGTTTAGTTAGCTTAAAGGTGCAGCTTTTGGAATGCGTGTTTGCAAATGTAGAGGTTCATAAAACTGCAGGTTTTGAAATGTAGCATTACAGGTGCAGTTTTTTTTTTTAAAGTGCAGAACATGAATTTTTCAAAAAGTGCAGAACATGATTTTTAAAAAAAAGTGCAGAACATGATTTGTTTTAAAAAGTGCAGAATGTGATTTTTAATTGATATCCTTTTACCTATACAAGTTTGTGTAATTCACATGTGAACTTAATCAAATTTTACACTCCACTTTAAGGAAGGATAATGCACACTGATAAACTTTTAAACTTCTTTTCAACTTGAGCCTCAACTTGAGCCTCAACAGAACTATTTTTACTGATCTATTACAGAACAAATAAACCAAAATAAAGTTGAGCCTCAAGGTTCTCTGCTGAAAATGTATCCCTATTTACTAGGAAAAATGCATCACATATAAGTGAGTGTGTGTCCTGCACAAAAATGGACGTTAAATTGAAGTCATGAGGCTTGAACAAGGTCCACTGCTGAAAAATAACACTACCAAGAGAACTGAAGTGCACAAAAAGCCACAGATTTCCAAGAAACAATTCACCTAGGTAAAGCTAATATTCCCCCAATTTGAGATAATATCCAGGGACCCAATTTGAGCAACTGGCTATAATACCAAAAGATCTCGAGCGAAATTCTCAAATGGGAATCAGGGGACCCAATGACCAGTGACCTAGCTAAACAAGAAATGGAACTCTTAATTCCATTCAACACACAGTCGTTCCACTCAAAAATCTGAGAAAATATAAACATCAATCTACAAACATACTCACATATAAAACACCAGATTAAAATGAACAACATCACCTAATCATGAATCCATTGGATATAATCACAAAAAATAATCATGAATCCATTTGACCTTAATATGACAGAATCATCAAAAAGGCAAAATAACATCAACAATATGGTCAAGAAACCAAAAGTTTAATAAAAACCCCTAAAACGGTTTAATAGCTAACATCAACAATACATTATGCATCTCTGCTAATTAGTATCCCCTACTGCCCCTTCCTTGTCCTTGAGATGCCCTATTCCCTGTTGAACCTCTTCCTCCCCTGGATCCCCTTCCTCCTCTAATAACTCTGCCTCCTCTGCCCAATCGATTGAGTTCTGCTGTGATTGAATGATTGTTTACCGGTGCAACTGTTGATGTAGATCCCCTTGATCTCTTGGGTTGAGGTTCCATTATATACTCTTCTTAAGCCCTTGGCCAAAGTAAGTCCTGGAACCAGATAAAATAACTCATCAATTTCATGGTAAGTGCCACATTTTTTTTGCCAATTCCTCCAACCAAAACCAACAAAGTTCATCGGGTCTACATCATAGGTCTTACTATGCCCATCCAAATAAACTATTTCATTATTTGCCTTTGTGAAAAGGCCATCATGCCAGAATGTCAATGATACACAATTCATGACTCCCTTAGTGACCTAATAAAGAGAAACAATGATTTAAAGTTTGCACACAATAACTATAGTTAGGACTTAATTACTATGTCAAGCATTTTAATAAATGTGCCTTCATAACTCCAGATTTTGTACAAATTTCCCATTAAAAATGTTCTCGGCACTTTATCAAACACATACTAGGCGGGGTAAAAAAGTAGTGTTTCAATTGACTAGAGTTGTCCATTTCATTACCACACCATGTATTTGTTATCCACACAAAAACATTGAGACTCTTTTTCAAATTGTGTTTCAAATAAGAAATTATGTAATGAGTGACTAGGGATTTCATATATCATAAGGGATTGAAGAACTAGTATCATACCAGTAAATACAAAAGGGATTGAAGAACTAGTATCGTTATTACCAGTTATGTAGCCACCGTCCTCCTCCCCCGACCTCACTGTTGTCCTCCAGCATCATCCTCCATCACCGTCTTCTGGTTTTGCTTGGATTACGCAGTCGATTTTTCAGAAGGATTTTTCAAATCGCTGTGGAAGACTCCATCGTCGTCTATGTTTTCTTGAAGGATTTCAAACCAGTGTTCAACATTACGATGTCATCTTTTTTTTTGAAGGAACAGGGTCAAGTGTTTTCTAAATGGCTTTGTTGACTTTTACTTAACTAACCGGTAACAAGTTATTGGGACCAAAGAAAGCAAATGATATGAAAAGGTGGGATTTATTTCAGATTACTAATAAGTGGGACTATTTTGAGAAGAAGAGTAAAAGGTGGGATTATTAGAGTAAAATTTTCCTTTAATTAATAAATTTATGATTCTGATTACTTCTCTCCCTTCTATACTTATCTCAACCACACAATATATTTAGTGGATTGAGATGGTCGGATGACATGTGTGGTCAAATCAGCTTAAAGAGTGGCTGTTAACCACCTATCGTCTCTTTTCTAAAAAAAATTAGTTGATGGTCACCCCAACCCAACTTCTGAAAAAAATTGATTAGAGTAAATTAGAGTAACACTCAGGCATAATGACGAACCGTCCTACCGTTAACTCCGGTGACGCCGAGCTCCTCCGGTCCCGTTTCATCCAAGTTCTCCTCAGCCGTCGTTCCCCTCATGGTATCTCGAACTTCCCGTACCATGCGTTTGGATTTCATATGTTATCTTTTGACACGGAAATGAATCCCGAGTTCAACTTGTTAAGAGCTATTTCTCTTGCAAGTAGCAATCAGAACTTGTAGTTCCTGTTTAATGCGTTTCCATGCAAATTTGTTTTGTATATTCCACTTCTAAGTTTTCCTATTATTCCCAGTCTTGCTATTTCTTTCTGCTTTCTGCTTTCTAGTTTTGCATTTTAGCTTTCATATGTCTAAATTGGAAACACCTCGAGATTACGGGGGGTGTATAGACCAGTGGTGGTGGTTGTAACAGCTGTGATGGTGGTTGTTTACAGTCATGGTTGGTGTATGGTGTGGTCAAGGGCGGTGGTGGATAATGGTGTTGAACTGTGGCAGCAGTGGTAGACGATGGATATAGTGGTTTTTGTCGGCAGCTAGTCCACTGCAGTGGTGGTAGTTGGTGATGGTGAGACAGGTGCGGTCTTTGGTAGTGGCAGTGGTTGGAAGTGGCGTTCATTAGTGATATGTATGATCACCAATGGTGGCAATGTCGATAGACTTGCGTTGGAGGAGGCAAGGAGATCAGGAGTGGGAGTGTTCGATGGAATTGCTAATCAGGGCCATCTACTAGGCTTGTAAGAAGTGATATAGCAGTGTGCCTCCTAGTATAAAGGCTTAATGTCTTGAAAATATGGTGTATATATTATACAAAAGCTTTTTTTGTTTTATTCAAAAACTTTTCTGTTGGTTTATTTCGGGAAAATATGAACATGGTGATATTTGAATCATATTTCATCTCAGATCAAATTGTGTATAATTTCTAACTTTTAGTACAAAATGGCCTATCTTTTTTCAGTTAGCACAAGGCACCCTAAAGGTTAAGACGGACTTGTAGCCAATGATGGTGGCGGGGTTGTGGCGGGGTTGTTCTCTTCTTTGTAATGGAAATGTGCTCTCCAGTTTTCTGGGAATAAACATTGCGAAATTGGAGAGGAGTTTTCTGTTTTCTAAATTTGAAAAAGCTGTGAAGTAAACATGTTTACTGTTTTCTATTTTCTGAATTTAAAGAAAATTGTTTTCTATTTTCTAGTTTCCTGGAAAACATAAAACTTTTCCTTCCAAGTACACGATTCTTTGGTCCCTAAATGGGTGTCTTTAGTTTGTGATGGTCACCTGTCAACGCTATAGTAAAATAACATGTACGGAGTATGATTTTCCTTTAAATTGAATATTTATTTTCCCTAAAAATTTCTGTTTTGTTAATTATACTACAACATCTGACATAGAGACTAATTCAGAAACTTGATGTGATTTCATTCTAGTTCCCCTATCTGTGATACCTGGAAAACCTGTTAGTGATCCTTTGTATCAGCAAACTCCTAAGCCAGTGTTTAGTGAGGTAAAGATTTAAATGGGTATAAGTCATAATACGGTTCATACCCAGTTATCTTCTGTTGTGTCTTTACTATATGTCGTTTGTACTGTTTAAACAGGCGATGGCTTCTTGCCCTAAAGCGGATGTCCCCACTTTTAAAGAGTTGCTCCAGGAGGAAAATTTCTACCTCACAACTGAGGTAATGTAACTTCTTCAATATTCACTATTCTGGTTAACTCATTAGCTAGAGTATCTGAATCATTCGAGTTAGAAACTTTACCAGAAGGGTGGGAAAGGAGGGAATACATAGTTTAAAAAATATGTATAATTTATGGTAATAAGTACTACCTTTATTCTTTATTAGTTGCAATGTTTTGACTTTTGCACTAGGCAAATACTCTACTAGAACCAGATTTTATTTATTAATGTATAAAAAATTAATGTGTCAAATTTTCATAAATATGTCGCAGTGTAAATTTCCAGAATTTGAATTTTTTATTATTCTTTCCGTTCTTACTACTAGCCAAATAAATATATATACGATTAAATTCGTATTTTGGTGAACATGTAAGTCAAACTGTTGCAACTAAATAAGAAGTAAGAACCAAGGAAGTAAACGGTTAAGACACTGAGTTTACATTAATTTATAATTGTATTTTTTTGAGATGTTTTTAAGTTGTCAAGTTAAATTAAAAATCCACCATCCCCTTCCACTCAAAAACCACCACCTCCTTAACATTTACTAAGTTTCACATTGGGGCGGATTGTGTTTCTTTACTCTGTTGATGGATATATAATGTAATGGATTAATGGATAGTAGTGAACTGAAAGACAATGTGTGTTGCTTAAAACAAAAGGGAACTGGTTGAATTGTTTTGGAGTTTTTTTCTCCTTAATTAACATTTTTTGTTCTTCACTCCTCTTTCAACTCTGGTATGGAAAGCATAGGATGATAGTTATCAGATAATAGTTCTCAGATGGTTTTTCATATTCACTTTTCACAGTTATGTACACAGTTAGCATAAATTTGTGGCAATAAATCCCCTGAACTTGGGATGGTTAAATGATTTTACACACATTTCACAGCTATGTACACAGTTTTATTTTTACAATCCCCTGAGAGTACACAGTTATGTACTCTCGATGATGTACTGTTGCTTTACAATATAATGAGACCATTAACTTATCATATTCTGCTATTACCATTACTTATTCATAAATGCTAATAGTACTAAAGAAAGATAATAAAACTAATCATACTCCTTGTACATTAATTTTACAATTTTTTAATTGTTGCATAAGTATGAGACCAAACACCTAAGATGACATTCAAAAAAGAGACAGAAGCTGTATATAACTAATGCTTACCTTATTCAGGAGGGAGACCAGGGGAAATTGCCTGTCTTGATATTGAGCATGAAAGAAATGAATCAGACGAGAAGGCCAGCTATTGTATTTTTGCACAGCACAAGTAAATGCAAAGAATGGTTAAGGCCACTGCTTGAGGTGAAGGATACCTTGATGGAATATTAAGATATACACTGAGGATTCTAAGCATTATTTGTTGTATACTTCAGGCATATGCTTCTAGGGGATATATAGCTATAGCCATTGATTCTCGTTACCATGGAGAGCGTGCAAGCAGCATGACAACCTATCAAGATGTACAGACTAATTCTACTTTCCTATTCTGTGTTTTCAATTAGCCTCTCTTACTAAGCATAATATAGGAAACTCACTGTGACTTTTAACTGAAGGTGAGAAATGGAAAACTTTCGTGGGATTTTGTATTCTCCTTATAAGAAAGCTTTTGAATCTTTTACACAAAGTGGTTTGCCACAAAAAAAGTACATAAAGGGACCATTAGTATCTCAAAAAAGCCACTTAAGATTAGGTAAAGTTGTTGGGTGTGTGACTCACTATAACTAAGGTTTTATGTTCGATTCTCATTGTCACCCTTCCGGGCCTCCTGTAAGAAAATAAATAAGTGTAAACAAAATGAATTTACTCTTCAAAGAAAATGTTAAGGATGAGAGCAATATCCCACATATACTACCCCCATTCCACATAAACTTGTTTATTTTAGTTAGGTACAACTATTAGACATGTTCAATTTTAGCTATATTTTTAAATTTGTTTTTTTTTATGTAACTCTATTTGACTTATGTAAGACTTTTAGTTTTTAAAATATGCTCCCCCCATCCTAAAGTGAAGTTCTTACTTTGAACTTTCGAGTCAAAGTTTTTTAGCCTGATCATTAATTATTCGAAATGTATATTAAGTTCTAACATGAAAATAATCATGAATTCCTATTTTCAATATATATTACTGACATTATAGTTTATTATGGAGCTTATAAGTATATAGTTGTGAATAATAAAGGTCGAAATTCGACATTGAACGCCATGAAAGTCCAAGTGGGAATCTCATTTTGGGACAGCTGGAGTTATAAATGTTAACTTCTTTTCTTCAAATATGACTCTTTTTGGGACAAAAAAATGTTTTCAAAGAGGACTATTTTTGGGAACAAGGGTACTATTCAGCTCAAATAACAGCATGTTTCTTTTAACAAGCTGATTGTAGTTGCTCTTTCTTTCAATAATAAATTAATAATGCAGGCCCTTGTATCATCGTGGAAGAAAGGCGATACAATGCCATTTATATATGACACGGTAATGCTGCTAAGTTTTTATACAATATTTTTGTTGAAGTTACAAAGATATGGGGTAATGAGTACATCATAAAAGCTTATGGTTGAACTGCAGGTGTGGGATCTGGTAAAACTGGCTGATTATCTTACAGAAAGGAAAGATATTGACCAGACGAGGATAGGAATCACAGGGGAATCACTTGGTGGTAGGGCAAATTCCATTAAGATCTGATTCACAGTCTCTTCCGTGTGTTCTATTTGGAAGATTTCTTTCTGCAGGTATGCATGCTTGGTTTGCTGCCGTAGCTGACAGTCGTTACGCAGTGGTTGTCCCCATCATCGGTGTGCAGGTAGGTTGCTCATCATTCTAATACTAAAAAAAAATATTACAAACACTCCCTCTGTCCCAAAATTATTGACCACTTTAACTTAGACGCAATTTAATAAATTGGAAAGTTTGTTGTTGATATGTTAACCTCATACATATTCCTTTCCTCAAAAAGAAATGGGCAATATTTTGGGGCAAATTAGAAAGCATGAAGTGAATTTGGAAACAGAGGGAGTATAGTTTATTTTTATTGAGGGGGTATTGTAATTGCAGCAATGTGGAAGTGGATTTTGAGTCAGTCTCATTCTCATAATGAAGAGTAATTTCTTGGGCAATTTTAGGGATTTGGATGGGCCATAGAACACGACAAATGGCAAGCGAGAGTGAACAGTATCAAGGCTGTCTTTGAAGGTGAGATCACTTATAGTAAATACTACCTCTTCAAAATTTATAGGAGCCACAATTAGCTTTTCCACAAATATCAAGGAAACAAAGTAAATGTGATTAATTTTCACATGTTAAATCACAAATGGGTAAGGGGGAAAGGTTGAAAGTTAGTTTTGTATTTTCAACAACAACAACATCCAAGCCTTATTCCCAAAAGATTTTGGGGTCGGCTAACATGAATCGAACCATGACACTCAAGTCTCAACAGTCACTCATGTTCAGAGCATGCCATTACCCTTGAAACTTATTTATTCCATTTACAGAAGCCCGGGCTGATTTAGGCAAGAGTGAGATTGATAAGTATGTGGTGGAGAAGGTATGCATGATTAGCACTTTTTGCTTGGAGTCAAATCCTTGACCATAATAAGCATATAAAAGCACAACTGTATAGTTTCAACTTTCCAGTGTTGCCATTTGTGGACAGGTGTGGGACAAAATTGCACCAGGTTTAGCATCACACTTCGATTTACCCTACACATTGCCCATTATTTCACCGCGCCCTTTGCTGATTCTAAATGGTATGATTATTCATTAATCATTAATCGCTGCTACTTACCCATGTATTGAACTAATGTTGACTAATTTACTTATGATTCCATCACTTCTCAAATAAATTTCGTGTTAGGTTTCTACAGTCATATTAAGGAAACAATGCTTCCCTATTTTAGAAGAGTAGTGAAGAACATTTAATCATCTAAAGCTTTTGTATATGTGTTAGGGTAGGAGTACCCAAGTAGGGACGGAAGCGGGCCAGTTTTGGATCTGATTCCCACCAGATCTTCCCTTATTTTGTAAGAAGGTACAAGAACCGGCCAGATCGTATTTTGGAGGAACTGGCACTGACCGTTCTGGTCCTATACTCCTATTTCAGAGGAACTAGAACCAGACCAGTTCTTGTTACCTGTTCTGGTTCAGAACTGGAAAAAATGTTTTGGTCCAAAATGGAAAATCGGGCGGTCCTGGTCCGGTTTCAGTCCAGAAATGGGACCATATTTTCCCCTAGACAGGAGGAAAACAAGAACAATTTTGAATCAAACGAATTAAAACTCTGCACATACGTTGAAACATGTTTTTTTTTTCAAAAACAACATAATGAGACAACTGAAGGGTATTACGAATTCATGTTCATGGGGCATACAGGTGAAGAAGATCCTCGATGTCCTCTTGCTGGCTTAAAACTTGCATTGTCGAAAGCTAGCCAATCTTATGAAGATGCCCATTGTCCTGATCATTTTAAGGTATTCCCCCCACCGCCGCCGCCCCTCCCTCAGTCCCTCTCTCATTTTTTTTATTCTTTATTTCCAGGTGTTAGCCGAACGCGGAATTGGGCATCAAATGACACCTTTCATGGTAAAAGAAGCAAGTCATTGGTTTGACAAATTCCTCAAACCTGTTGACCTCAAATTTTAAGTTCTCTCGTAAGTCAGTTGGATTCTGGTGTCTGTATAAGGTTGTAGTCACTTAAATGTAAAGATTATGCGGCTATGTAAGGATTGGTAATATTCATACTTCAGAACCTGTGTTTATAGTTAATGATGATCTTATTTTATGTTTTACCTGAATTGTCCAATATGCAAATAGAACAGTTACTGACCCAACAATCGGAAGATTCCATTACCAGATAACATGCTACTCCACGTGAGAATATCAATGAAGAGGGAAATGAAAATATTACTCCACATGACACAGTGATGGAAAGGGCTTTAACCTAAGTTTAAAAAAAACAACCCGGTCTGGACGGGTCGACTTGGAACCCGGCGACCCAGGTCAAAACTCTATTCGGTTAGCCAAAAACCCGAAAGTGGCTAAAAACATATAATTAAAAAAACCAGTTGACCCGTGAAAACCCCATTTTAGATTGTTTTTCTAAAAAAAAAAATTATTTGTAAAGATTTTCAAACCATAAAATGATAAAATTGCAATCTCAAATTTTCAATGCCTTAAAAATAAAAAATATGAAATATCTTTATATATTTTGTTTAAGAATGAGTATCATGCCAAATTATTTTATAAATGTACAATACAAGTAACAAATGTCATTATATATTTTAATAGGATCAAAATTGTATATTGGAATATTATGAATGTTTTAAACGCTTAATTAGCATTATCATTACTACCATTTATTATAATTTTGTACAATTATATGTCGCTTAATTAGTATTATCATTACTACCATTTATTATAATTTTGTACAATTATATGTTTACGCCTTTACGGTTATTATTTGATCATATAAATTGTTGATTGATTTTGAGGCATTGATTGGGTTGACCCATGGGTCCAGATTGACCCATGACGGCATGAGTGGTGTGACCCATTCATGTAGTCGGGTCGCTTCACGGTCCAAATTTTAAACATAGGCTTTAAGTTATAAAGTTATAATTGTTATCAAGTAAGTTTAAAGAAAAGTTTAAAAAATAATTAAGGACACCGTTTAGGTGCGTAACTATCTGAAATCTGAACACTTCAGAGTCTTCTTCAGTAGTTCAGTGTTGTGATTTTTTCATGCAAGAGCTCAATTTTCTTATGTTAGTAATTCATTTCATAACTTATACATATTATAATGAATCTTCGTGCACCATATGATAAAGTCCCTCTAATGAAAGAGGAAATGAATTTACAATATAGTCCAACGGTCCAAGTAAGAAAAACACTAACAGGCTGGAATCTGTAATAAAATAACAAAAAAAAAATCATTAATATACGGTTTATACATGAAGACCCGCTTAATATATCACACAACAAACATTTGATAATTTTACAGTAATTATCCATAGTTGGTTGCACATTCATTCATCAAACATGAAACTTCACTTTTTGGTAGACTTTCTTCATAAATCATAAATAAATGGTAACAGCATCAATTCAGCGCTTTTTAGGCATGGCTGCAAGCCTAGTATACATTCTCGCCATTGATTGGTATCCTCTTACATCACCAGAACGAAGAAGGTTCCCTGTGTTTAATTTGCCATGGGATGCCACAATAAGAATCAAGTCCTTTAAGAAAAGGATACTTCAAAGGGAAGGATTAGCCACAAAATGAATCTGTTGCTATTTGTGTAAAATAAAAGGGTTTCAACAAGTACAGTATCTCACTATATATCTATGTGTGCTTCTTTATAAACTATTAGATCAAAAGCGATATGTTCACTCTCATCTAATTCATTATATTATCTCAAACCAACCAATAAAATTATTAAAATTTAATGTAACGGTAAAAGTCCACGAGTGTGTGAGTGTGTTTGTTGTGTGAATGTGTGTGTGTAATAGTAATCTTAGGATCTAAACCACAGGCCCACAGCTAGTGGTGCTAAGTGAATCCATCTACAAATGAGGCATTCAAAATCAGCTCGACAAATACTTGGATTCATCTCAGCTAAGCTAATCTGAGTCAACTGCTCATGAGCCAATCTTTAGCACGAAAATATATAGTTCGGGCAAGCTTGAGCTTGGTTTTCTAACTCCACAGTCTACACCATTAGCCCCCACCCAGGTTACCCAACCCTTATCCAAAGACTGTGAGATGATTTTGGAGGTAATTTTTAATTAAAAAAGAACCACACTCCTTTACCTCCATTCCAACTCAATCTAAAAACTGAACTCCAAACATTGCTTAATAGAATGCCTCCATTCATAAAACAATAAATCCTGGATTTAATAAGACTCCATACACCTTTTTCATAGCATTTATAGAAACATGGTTTTATTACACTTCATACACCTTTTTCCTACACTGACCCCATACATATCATCAGAGTGCTATGATGAAGGGTTTCAGACGTCCTAGTCTCTCAAAAAATAAACGTTTTTAACAACAAATAGAAAGCGATTGAAATGTTATATGAGCTCATACTGTCTTAATCATTCAATTTTTTTAGGGGTGGGCATAAAACCGAACTGACCCGTAATGGTACCAAACGTATATCGGGTATTTTATCGGTTCTATAGATTTTTATCCCGAACCAAAATCGTAGCGCTTCAAACGGGTATGGGACCGGTTATAGATTTTGAGAACCGTAAAATACCAGACCGTTCAAAATTTATATATGTGATATTTTTATACTACCTTCGTCCCATAAAACTTGACCAACTTTCCCTTTTTGGCCGTCCAAAAAACTGTCATATCCATTTAAAGTAACAAATATGTGGCTAAAGGTATTTCTCTCACCTCTACGGCTCTACACAACTATTAATCACACAGTTTTTACTTTATTAATCTACGTGCAAGTCAATTTTGGCCATGTTTTATGGGACAGAGGGAGAATATTTTTTTCCATCCCAATAGATATCTTGTTTGGACCAACAACTTTCTAGCGTAAGTATGATTTCATTCATCATTTAAATAGCTAAATGTGTATGTTTATATAAATTATGTTATTCATTTCTTTTGGATAGATATGTTATATAAATTGCTAACTTCCAATAATGTGGTGTATAAGACTATTTGTTGTATCACATATTTATGTAATTTTGTAACTACATTAATATGATTTAAATCTTAGTTTACACTATACAACTATGAATTAAAACTAATATTCAACCTAGAACAAAGAAGAATGATGATGGGGTTTTCTATGATATATTCAACAATTTGATGATTTTTTTTAGTTTGCACGTGAATTTAATGAGGATAGTGTATATCCGGTGTCTCATCGTTTTGCTAAACATTTCATTTGAGCATTTGCAAACATAAAAACAAAAATGTAAGCCTCTTAAATCTTTCTTGTGTTTAGTATACGCTCTTTCTTTTACTTCCTCCGTTCTTTAATTCTTGCAACATTGTGATTTTTGCACTATTCACATACCTTACTTTGACCACGATTTTCTACTAATATATATAATTAAATTATCACGTATAAAATGTTATTGAATTCCTATCAATGTGAATTTCCAAAATATCAACTTTTTATAATGTTTACTAATACATAATTAAATATAATGACAGACAAAGTTGTGCGTTGGCAAACGTGAAAGTCAAACTGTTGCAAGAATTAAAGAACGGAGGATAGTATTTTTTATTAACATTTCATGTGAACTGACGGGTATGATGAATTTACTAATTGCAAGTTTTTTTCAAAAAAAATAGTATTGGTTTGACATTGTACCATTTTGTACCATTTCAAAACGACATGGTACCGAATGGTTCACATGTTGTTATGATTTCACATGTTGTTAGCAAACTCACTATGCTGGTATTATTGATTTGATATATGCTCCAAACCAACAATATTTCCTGTTAGGCATATCTTCGTAAAGAAACACAAGATGGTACTCTCAAGCCTGGCCTGAATAAGAAAGTCAAACTTTCATGAAAATGGGGAGTACCTGAATCACAGTTCAGCGGGCTATCAGGTTCTGGATGAGCCATCAAAGCAATTATTGCCCGACAGACAGATTGTAGTGTCCACGCGGGGCTCCATGCATTCTTTAATATATCTAGGCAAATCTCTCCAGTCTGTTGAATATAATCAAGTACAAAAAAAGATGAATTCACAACCATTGCTGAAAACATCAGAGCTGTAATAACAGCAACTGCATTCTATATTGCCACATTTGCAGCAAAATTATTATTCCTTCCATCCCTATTTAATCTTCCCAAACCCAAATCGACATTGCATGCAGATTAAGAAAACAATTTAATTCTTTTGTAGAAAACAACACAAAGATTGTTAAGAACAAACCAAAAAGGTAGGAGGATTAAAAGGGGCAGAGGGGAAATTTAGGAAGAAAAAAATGTCAACAAGATCTACTTCCAAAATAATACTCCCTCCGTCCTGGTTGAATCTTGACATTTTCTTTTGGCACATTGTTTCGGAGAACATTTTTATATCAAGTGTTCCCATCTTGCCCTTATTGGTACAATTTAATATCTTCATGAGTTTCGCTACTTTCCCCAAGTTTAACCATTCCTTCGCATGTGGAAGCAACTACACATTTGTAGGATGAGCGAGCAACTCTCACTGTGCAGCTGGTCTCTAAGCTAAAACAACTATTGTTCTTAATTCCCAGCTCTCACTTCAATCTCTTAACTGAAACGTAATTGTTTCAGCATCCTTCAATCACAAATTACAAAACGGGAGCAGGAGAAACCAATACTCTTGTAATACATCTTGTATAAATTAAACATCAATTCTTCTAAAGATTAGAAGAATTACAAACATCAATTCTTCTGAGCAGAAAGCAATACTTCATACTTTATAGTATTATTGTTATTCTCAATTAACACCAATAAACTACCTGAAAATACCCATTAAAATGATTTTCCACAGAGATGATGTTCTCATAAAACTTATGCTGTAAAAGTTGAGAGCGCTGTTCCTAAGTTGCGCCTTACACCAAGCAGTCTGAGTAACTTACGGAATGATGAAATGTACAACAAGTTAATCAAATGTACCTTAAAATGAACATTTGGATGGAATATTTTGGTTAAGAACCGCACTTGAGGAGGCTGCAAAGGATACTGCTCTGGGACAGAGAAGGCAAGCTGAAAAACTCCACCTTCAAACGGAGTTTCAGATGGACCCTATGCAAAAGCATAAATTAAGAAATTGACTTAGTATGATCCTCTTTGACAAACCACTTTCCTCTAACACAATCCCTTTAAGCAAAAAACAG